CCCCCGCCGCTGCTGCGCGGGGCTGCGCTCCCCTCGTCCAGCTCCCCGCCGCGGCCCGGGAAAACCCTTCAACAAAGAGGCGGGAGCCGGGGGGAAGGGCAGGCCGGGAAGGAGGGACGGGCGGCCGGGCTGCGCTGAGCCCCCCGCGCGGGGCTGCGGGAGCGCGGCGGGAGCGGCGCCTCCGCCGGGGCGGCCGCCGCCATGGGCTGCTGTTCGGGGCGCTGCACCCTCATCTTCCTCTGCGCGCTGCAGCTGGTGAGTGCGCCTGGCCACGGGCACGGCAGCGGGAACGGGCAGGGACGGCCGCCCAGCCCCACGGCGGGGCGACACGGGCTGCCCTCCTCGYCCCCTGCCCCTAACTTCGGCGGCGCGACAGGAGCGGGATGCGACGTCGCGGGCAGGGAGGGAAGCGCCACCACCGCCGTCGGGCCGCTCGGGGGGGCAGCGGTGCCCCGGCCCCCCGCGCCCCGACGGGGCCACCCGCCGCGTGGGACAGGGAGAGGGAGAGAGCAGAGGAAGGAGCCGGACGGACGGCGCGGCGCCCGACGGGGCCACGGGTCGGAGGGCGCGGACCGGCTGTGCCGGGGTGCTYGAGGGGGCGCCCCAAAATCACCGGCGCCACCCTTCCTTTTTCCTGGCCCCCTTTCCCTCCTCCTTCCCTTTCCCACTTTCCTTTCCATTTTCCCTTTCCTCCTTTTTTTTCTTCCTCCAAATTTCAAATTCTGCCCATCTTCTTCTGTAAGTTGCTTGGGSTTCTCTTTCCCTGATTAAATATTCCTGAGTGTGCAACTGAAACAACAGGGGAAAAAAAAATGCATCTTCTTCCCATTGTTTACCGAAGTTGGCAGATTTGTTTCAGGGGAAAGGCTTGGCCAGACAAAACAAGAGCAAACCCTAATAATCCTTCCTCTGGCTCATTAGCGGCATGATAAAATAATGCTTTTCCTTTAAGAGTTAGTTATAGTCCCAAGAGTATTTTAAAAGATTTTTCTCTTTTCTACTGACTCAGAGTCATCATTTTGCCACATGATCTTTCTTTAGAGGAGCTCTGTGCCTTGCGTGTTTCTGTAAAGGGAAGAAAGTGGGATGCATCTGCTATTGTTTTTTTTTTAATGCTTTGCTAATCTTTCTAGTTTTCTCTTACAGCAAATTGAAATGGTTTCTGCTTTGGGGGCACTATTAATATACACTTAAATGTGATACGTATAAGTGCTATGGGAAGTACCTCAGCCTTTCTCAAGGATTTGCACCATACACCTCGGTTTACAAAGGCTGAAATCTTCATTGTTTCCAGTGRGGGTCTGCACCTCACTTACATTTGCTTCAATGTGATGGATGTAGTGTAGAAACTTGAAACAGCCTTGCCAAAAAGCAGAGAATACATCATTTGTACTTTTTAGTTTTAGGAAAGCTTTTGTAAACATATTTATGGCTAAAAAAAATCTTTCTGTTTTTTCTTTTTCTTTCTTTTTTTTTTTTTCCTACTTTTGCACCAGTTTTGCAGATACTGCCCTATTGACTGCTGGAAAATTGCTCCTGATTTACTTCAGTGCATTTGGGAGGAGAAATAAACCCATCTTCAAAAATCTCTCTGTCCCATAGCTATAAAGGTTATAATAACTGTATTTACTATACTGCAGAATTACCTGGAGGCTATAGAAATTGAAGTAAAGTGTGAACAGTCACCATAACCTGTAGGGAAATGCATATAAAATCTTTCAGAAAAATATCATATTTTATAGAAGACCTCACAGATGATCTAAAAACTTTTAAGAAATGACTTTAATATGTAGTCTTTTCTGCTGCACCTACCTGTTTTATAATAACAGTACCAGTGTTAYATCTGTACCTTTTAGGAACTGCTAAATGTCTGTATCGCAAAATGCTTTCACTAAAGTTCATTTTCATTAGAGAAATAGAATCCATGTTTTAGATCTAAGATGTAATCTCGTAGACAAGAACTCAAATCTCAAGTAGTTGTGGGGATTTTGGTGATAGTAGCATTGAATTTATGTCTGTTGTCACCACAGGCTGTTTTACATCTTTTTCTAACATCTCAGAGGTCATGAGTATAAAACATGCCTAGCAAAACTGCATCCCCTGACATTACTGTCATTAAGCAAGATTTATTTTACCTTGCATCCATTTATGGAGAGTTGAAAGACCTATTACTAACTGTGGACAACATTTAGATTAAATACTACAAAAGCCAAAGCACGTGTAATGCTAATTTGCATCATTTCAAAAGTAAGATGATTCATATGGCTTGAAAAAAGACTTCAGAAAAGGTGAAAGGTTTCCATGTATTAAAAAAAAAAAAAAAAAAAAGAGCTAGGAAGTTGGTCACCTTGGGCATATTGTAGACATGGCAGAAAAGGCATGAATATATGTCAGAAATGGCATGAACAGCTCAGGCTTAGCCTTTAGACTAAGCTTTAGATACCACCTAGAGAAAGTTAAGCGGGATATTACAAAATGCAGTTAGCAACACCTTTTATAGTAGACATGTGCCGTAGAGATTCTCTGTATTATTAAATGGTGGGAAGTAGTGAGCTCCCTGGAAGCATGTTCCTGTCTGGTTCTCTGTAGTTCTAAAAGTATAAGCAGAGTTTAATAACCTCATAGTGCTATTTCTTGATTTATTCAGAACTGACTTCTTCTCTCATGCCTGTTGGGCATCTTCATGAAAATATGTTGTTGGGGTGAAGATCACAATTACTAGGTAAAGAGGACAACAGTTCTTGTGTGTCAGTTTGTAAAATATAGATTGTATTGTTGTGTGTATATAGATTGTATTTCTGTAATGGTGATCCTCTAAGTGCATTAACTTCAAAAGGATTTGTTTGTGTATGTTGGGAGAATTTCAACATAATTGAAAAATGATACTATTTTCATTTTAATGTTTGGATCCACAGAAGTGTTTCTTGCTGAGTTAGGGCTTTTACTTTTCATAATAAATACATTTTACTGCTGAATTTAGTAATGTCAAGAACATTCATTGGATAATCTTACATAGTTCAATTATAATCTCATTCTTAGATGTTAGCCGTGAGGAATTAATCCCAGAGACCATGTGCCAGGGGGCACTTGTTTGGGAAAGGCTGTTAAGCATGTGGATTCCTGAGTGGTTAGCTTGTACCTCTGCAGGCTGAGGGACAAGTCTGTCTCTGAAAAGTATGCAAATTTTGCTAAAGGAATGAAAAAAAAGACTTTTTTTTTGATCTTTCTCTTTGACTGTTTTGCWCTTTGTACTTGCTCTTACTGCAAGTAAGCATTGCAATACACCTTTTGCAAAGTTGTCAAGATGAGAACTTAAAGGTATGTATATATCTTTCTGTGCATAAATCTGTCATGAATAGATTACGTATACATCAGGAAAATACATCTTCAGGATCTATGAATCCTTTGGATGATAGCCATACTTTTACTATTACCATCAGGAGTCACAGATGTTGGCCTTGTTTGTACTAGAAAATTAAAGCAGCTGCCAGAGATGGAGCCTGTGCTAGAGTAGCCACCATGCCATAAAATACTGCAGCATGCAAATGTTTGGAAAATAAAGCAATTGCAGAAAGTATTAAATTCTGAAAGGGGTAAATTGGCAAAGAATTGCACAGAGATTTAGCTGTGTGAATCCAATTGATGTTAATATGTGTCACACAGTGAAAATCTTCATGCTGCTTTGAAAATATATTTCTGAGTAACTGCCATTGCAGGATAATTTTATTTTAACATTTACATAAGTGGAAGTTTTTGGTACCAAGAAGTACACAGATGTGCAAGCATAAAGAATTGTAAATAATAGAGATCACAGATGAGATTTTCAAAGCAGTGAATGGAAGATTAATCAAAGTTACATAGCTGAGTTTCCTTTATAACTTGSAAAATTTTATTGCCTGTCTTTAGCTTTGGACTTCACTGAGCGCTCTTCTTTGTATAGACTTTGCTTTTGAAGTATAACCTTATATGGTATAGACAGTATAAAATCATCTGTTTCCTTTTTACCCGGTTACTTTCCAAGTAATTTGTAAGCAGACCACAAGAGGAAATAATTGTCATGGAAGTACAGCTTCTGTGCATTAATATTTAGAGATTGTTTGGTGAGTGAAGTTGGTCATTTTAGCAAGTTAATGATATTACTCTTGGTAGTTAGCGAGCTAATGATATAACTCTTGATATACAGAAGATTTATGTTTGTAATTCCCATTAACAATAATTATACTGATGTATGTAAATCCCTAACACTTGGAGATAAAACTGTATCTGTTTTCTAAACTGTATCTGTTTTCTGTTATCTAAAAGATAACATTTCACCATTTATTACTATACATAATGCAACTCCAGTGGTTGTGTTGGGAAGTGATATATACTGCACATAGATTTTTGTCTCATTTTAAAATGCTTCATAAAGCTGGAAACTATAAGTTCTGCTAAAACACACTTTATGAAATCTTACAGTTTTGGCTGTCTGGCTTATATGCTAGCAATGTCATACTGCAGTTACTCAGTTAACAGTTTAGGGATTCAAGAGATTTGATAAATTGAAAAAGTAAAACCTTTGAACCAATAAATCGCTGCATCTTTTTATGTTGGTAAAGGAATCACCAACYCACTGATCTGGAGAGGAAGCATCTGTCCACTGGTAGTGCAGAGAAAGAAAGGAAGAGGGAGTGTGCGTTGTACTAACTTGGGTTTTAGCTCTGTACAACATAATGGTTGCGGGATATTTTCCTTTCTGCTAAGGAAACTCACGTGAGATGGGTAATTTGCTCAGGTAACTCAAATGATATCCCCAAAATATACAACTCCTAGTGACTGTGCCTCACAGGTTGATATTCTTGTTCTACAGATGTATGAATGTACTTAAAGCTAGGGATTGAAATCATGCGCCACATTCAGTAGAACAAGCTGAGCAAAATCTTTGCAAGTTAATAATCAAAAAGCGTATGAGTTTATAGCATTTGCAAGATCTCTGTCTTCAAGAACACAAGAGTAACAGCTAGCAGTGAGTTTTCAGTTAATGGTTTTTTGCTTACTTTACACAACTACTGGAAGATGTCTGTCATTAAAATATACTTTCTTTGGTAGTGTTTAACCACTTCATACACCAAAAAATCAACCTCAACAATGTAGTCCCCTCCTCCCAGAACTCCATATAATAGTTCTTTCAATTCATTGCTTCAAAGTTGAGAATTCAAGACTTGAGGAACTTTTCAGAGAGCAGAAATTCCTTTTTGTTTGGTTGTTTTTTTTTTTTCTTTAATGTTGAGATGAAAGATTTAGGATTTTAACAATCATAGTAGGAATCGACACTTCATTGAGAAGTATGAGTTGTATAGACATCCTTTCCATCTATAAGGCCAGTAAGTTTGGGGAGATAATTATTTTAGGACTATCTGCTCCTGATTTACCCTTGTTCAAGATGTTCTATATTCTGCTAAAACAAAATTCTTGAGCCTGGGAAACACAGTTTGCTTTCTTGAAAGTCATTGAAATTCAGCAGGAAGGGCTCTTTTGGATCTAAATGGAATTTGGCTAGGACTTGCAGAACGTGAATGTGGGGTAAAGGTTTATGCTTAGAGATCA